ATATTTTTTCTCGGCATCAAGGGAAGCACTTCTTAATTTTGTTGTATGTGAGTATAATGACAATATAGGCTTTTAATTCTATTCTATTAATTTTAACATTTATTAATACCTTATTAAAATCAAATGTTGTATCTGTTAATATTAGTTAATGAACAGCTGTATTTTATTAACTTGTTAACAAAGATTAATAAATACTGCAGCAAATGTTAGTTAATGCATTAACTAATGGAAACTTATGGTACTGTTACCATATTAATACAGTTATATCTTATACTAATTGAATTTAGTACATTTACAAATTTGACATTAAATAATTATATAATTATGAGCAGTTTACTATTTTGTGATGTATATACATTTATTTCAGTTTTTATTATTTTGCGAGTTCTCGTCTGACACTGTAAATCATCAGCGTATCATCATGTCACATGAAACAACATATTATTTAACAAAAGAATTTATTGTACATTTCAATTTCAAGTGTCACAAAAGTGTATGAATGACATTCCAGTGGCGTGACGAAACATCTGTAAATCACACGCAGGTAATTAATCATGTGGCAGGAAGGGTTCCCTTTCGAGGGACGACACTGGGGACACTCCAGCGTGACAGCATCTGAAGCACGTGTTGATTGGTGTTACGTCATGGCGTGACATGTGACGGCGCACACGGAAGCTGCAAAGGGGAGCCGGCACACAACTGTGTTAGCTTCTGCTCTTCAGCAAGCATTCTGTATTGCTTTTGTCAGTCTTATTTGGGGTTGTTTGTCCCATACTGTGCAAAGCATTATATCTATTGAAAAAAAAAGAGAAAGAAAGTAATGGTGAGTGAAAGACATTATAGGCAGCGCACGTCTCCCTGTCCTAGATTCATCACGGATGCGGACACACACTCGCTCTGTGTTATGTGCCTCGGAGCGGAGAATGCACGGGCAGCGCTCGAGAGTTGATGCTCCACTCCTGCCTGGCCCTGTTCGATGAGGCTCGCGCGTTCGGGACTGCATCTGCCGAGGCTGCGCAGCATTTACAATCATGGGGATCGCAGATGGAGCTGGCTGACGAGCTTGAGACGGCCTCTGGGTTTTCTCGGCTCTCAGCGGTGAGCTCTATCGTTCCCTCTCGAAGCTCTGCGGCTTCTTCTGCCCCGAGTGAGAACCCGATGGCCTGAGGTCGCGCCCCATGGTTTCTGTGGTCCCAGAGCAGGACCACCCTTCCAAAATACTCATTTATTCCCCGGGATGAAAATCTGGGAGCAGACATCCAGTCGAGGCAGGGGCTGAGGCCCGGGAGTGGAGACTGCACCCCGAGACGGTGGAGCTCATATGGAGGAAGTTCGGCCAAGCGAAAGTAGATCTGTTCGAGAACACTCACTGTCTGCTTTGGTTTTCCCTCACGCATCCAGCTCCTCTGAGGAGGACCAACTCCTAAGTACTGGCCTCTTAACCAAGGATGTTGAGAACATCTTAATCTCTAGAGCTCCCTCCATGAGGAAACTTTATGCTTCAGTGGAATGTGTTAACTTTATGGTGCAGAGAACGCCAGTTGAACCCGGTTAACCTCCCAGTGTCTTCAGTGCTGGAGTGCCTCCAAAGCCGTTTCTCTGTTGTTCTTTCCCCATCCACACTTAAGGTCTATGTGGTGGCCATAGCTGCCTTCCACACGCCTTTAAGCATGGCCCGTTGGGGAAACACCAACTTATCATTTGTTTCCTTCGTACCAGGAGGATAATGCCTGTCGTCCAATCCAGGGTTCCCGTTTGGGACCTGGCAGTGGTTCTTGAGGGGTTATGCCAGGCACCCTTCGAACCCATTGACGAAGCGTCGGAGAAGTTTCTTTCTTTCAAAGTTTCTTTCTTTCTATTACGTCCCTTAAAAGAGTAGTGGACCTGCAGGCGCTATCTGTTGCACCCTCTTGCCTAGACTTCGCTCCTGATAGAGTAAAGGCCATTCTCCACCCCAGGCCAGGCTACGAGCCCAAGGTGCCATCAAATGTGGCACGGTCTGTTATCCTGCAGGCCTTTCATCCTCCACCACATGTGTCAGCTGATTAAGAAAAGCTACACCTTCTATGCCCTGTTCGGGCCCTAGAGGCCTACATACGTAGGTCCTCGGGTTGGAGGAAGTCGGACCAGCTACTTGTGTGCTTTGGGTCTCCTAAGAAGGGTTCCCCTGCCTCTAAGCAGACTATTAGCAGGAGGATTGTAGAGGCTATTTCTTCAGCATATGAGGCACGCAGTTTGCCCTCGGTCTCCTGATAAGAGCCCCTCGACTAGAGGAGTGGCGTCCTCTAAAGCCCTGCTATCGGGGTTTCCCTTCAAGAGGTCTGTGATGCTGCTGGCTGGGCCTCCCCGCACACCTTCATCAGATCCTACAGCCTGGATCTGCCCTCACGCCGGGCTCTCGAGCCCTCTCGTCCTGAGCTGTGCCTGACAAGCTTCCACCAGGACAGGCACTCGTCAGTGTGGCGTAATGGGTGTTTCGCTCCCCAAAAGTGGCGTTTTTGAGGCAGCACAAGTTCTCCCGAAAGGGAACGTCTCTGGTTATGACTGTAACCCTTGTACAGAGAAAGGACACTATGTCCCTTTGCCACACCTACTGAGTGGCTGAGAACGGCTCGCTTCGACCTATCAGAAGCTAACACTGTTGTGCGCTGGCTCCCCTTTGTAGCTTCTGCATACGCCGTCACATGTGACGTCATGACGCACCAATCGAGATTTGACGAGTTCCACACGTGCTTCAGACGCTGTCACGCTGGAGGCGTTCCCCAGTGACGTCTTCGATGCAGCGTCTCATTCCCGTCTCAGGGAACAAGGGTTACAGGCGTAACCTGAGACGTTTCTAATGCATCATGAGAACGTGAGGCAGACGACGAGAAGATTTAACAGCACCAGCATCATGTACGTTTGGCTTCAATGTGTGTGTTTGTGTGTTTGAGTGAGTGAGTGAGTGAGTGCGTGTGTGCGAGTGTGTGTCTGAGTCTGTGTGTGTGAGTGCGTGTGTGTGTGTGTGTGAGAGTGTGTGTTAGGGATGCACCGATACCATTTTTTCAGAACCGATCCGATACCAAAAATTCTGAGTATCGACCAATGCCAATACGATACCAGCTCAGTTTTTTTAAAATCAAGTAGAATTTCTATAACTCTGTGTGTTGAACTGATAATCACTCTTTTGTGTGTTAAACACAATCTACTTAATACAGACAACTTCATTATAAAGAAAAACAACAAATCAAAAAAATATATGATCATAATCCAAAAATGCTATTATAACCTACATTAGTGGATAATTCAGCAGTAAAATGTAGTCTAGAAAAATCCCAAGTGCACAATAATTTAATAAAATCTGAACATTTAGTGAAAAAACATTATTTAGTGGGGAACCAATAAGAGACAATAAGTGTAGTACTAAATCTGGTAAAACGTTACACATTGCTCTTTGTATTGTTGTAAAATACATTCATGAAAAACAAGATAAAAAAAAGGCTATATTATAAAATTAAGACGATAGTTTATTCAGCCTTTTCTTTTCACAGTTTTAAATGTCAGTTACTGTGTGCGTAAAGAACAATTATAGTGCTCTGACTCTACTCTAGTGTTGTGAACTTGTGATCTAACAGACACCCGGTAGAAAGTAACATGATTAAGGTACAGCAATAAAGTCCAGCAATATAAAGTTGTTTTATGCGAAACCATAGAGCTTTATCTACAGATCAAGTATAATAATAGTAACATTGAATCATCTTGGAGAGAGTTTCATCGTGTTGACTGGCATACCCGAACGCGACGCGCTGTTAAATGCTGAGGGAAGAGTTTACGTGATCTTGAATTTAATGACTTTAATATTAATTTCTACCTCACATTATGCAATAGAATGGCTTCAGAACACTTATAATGTAGTGCACGAAAACTTTATGGTGCTTTATAATGTTTGTGTGCCTTTTGTGGGGCTTAACAATAATATACGCACAATATTGTATTTGGATCGGCCTCGTCTGATCGATACCCGATCCGGCAAAGAATGGCAGTATCGGAGCCGATACCGATACTGAGTATTGGATCGGTGCATCCCTAGTGTGTGTGTGTGTGTGTGTGCGCATGTTCTGTGGGAGAATCTCATCTCATGAAACAGACTGCCACACAAACCGCATCACACTCCTCTAAAGTCAACATGAAATGATCTTCACATCCACAACTCATTATTTCTCCAGTTAAAGGCCTTGTTTAACAGAACACAGGCGGTCTCAGGACTTCAGCTGAAGGAGAGAGACGTCCAGAAGTGGAGCAAGTCATTACATTTAGATGAACGATTATGAAGACAAACATTTATTTCTCTAGCATATTGTACACTGATGAAACATAAGAGCAGCAACATGAATTTAGTCAGTTCTCATCATTTCATGTTGACTTCAAATGTTACTTGTAATGTGTAACTGAGCAAGTCTTTCAAGAGTTAAAAAATATATAAAACCTAAAAACCCGAAGGGGCGAGTGCTGCATTCACTGAAGAACCCCTGAACCCTGTCTGCTGATTTACATGCTCATATTAACATATCACTGGAAAATAATGATGCTCTTCCATGTTTCTGTCTTGTTTTCAGCACAAATATCTAAACATTCTGAAAGATACATTTACTGGAGAAGCAAAATCAAGTCTTGTTTTCTGTTAAACTAAGTGAGTTTTTGCTTGAAAGAAGAACAAATATCTGCTACTGCAATATCTGCCATTTTCTGACCTCACTGGCAGATAATTATTCTTTTTTTAAGCACAAACTCACTTAATTTTGATAATTTTTTAAAGACTTAATATCTTCTCCAGTAAATGTATCTTGATTTAAGGATGTTTAGATATTAGGGCTGGAAAACAAGGAAGAGAATAATTTTTTCTGATCAAAGGCACTACAGACTAGCCTGTACATTAGTCTACTAGTAGAGGTAAAGGTTAAGTGCACTGTATTTACAGATTAAATGTGAAATGAATATAAAAATGATGCAGTGCTTGTAATGGTTTGAGGAGTGAGCGAGTGAGCACACGGTCCTCTTCATGTCGAATCCCTCACACCCGGATCTGGTATCCGTTCAGATCCGCCGCGGGCCCCGTTCTCTTCTCCACCGCCAGCCTGTGGAGACAGCGCCACCTAGTGTTAGCACGGCTCGTGTTTCTGACGGTGTGCAGTGAAAGATCAGTAGGTACCGTCTGTCGCTCGGGCTGTTCTTGCGCATCGGGCTGCCCGGGGTCCTCAGAGGAGATCCCACCTCCTTCCTCCGGTCTCTAGGGGGCGACGCAGGAGCGGCTTTACCGATCTGAAACACAACAGCAACATCACAACAAATGGAACAGATTATTAACTAACAATTTTTTTGTCAAGTATAATATTTGATACATTAGGCATACAGTATATGCCTCATATAGTCAGATTTAGTGAGAATAAGAAGGAAAAATGGCTTCATTTTATTCAGAGATATAAACTTTCATGCTACGATATGCAACTCTTTTTTATTATAAAATAACAAAATTAAAATATTGAGCAAGTACATCATAAAACTATGTTCCAAACTATGTTTTTGCCTAAATCACGTTGGCTATAATAATCATTTATATTTTAGCTGTCAGGACAAATGAAAGAAAGAAGGCAATAATATTGCAACAATACTGTTAAAATGTGTTAAGAGTTTTTCAATTTGACGCAATCTTTGTCGTCCTACTTTAGAAAAGGTTGTTTTGAAAGTGGGACAGTCACATATTCTACTTTATTCAATTGAGGAATTCTGCATTATGAAAGTTAAATGCCATGCATGTATTTTGTTCCATTTTTGGGCTTATAAAGCAGCAATATTATTAAGATCGGGCTTCCAAACCGTGGACTACTAGAGGACGATGGGATCCTGGACCATGATGAAGGGCAAGCGCTGCTTATTTCTGTGATGAAGTGTTTTTACCATTACAATTGTCTTAACACATGCTTTTGCAAGTTACATGTTCTCGAGTTTTAAAGACATTCCATGTTCCGAACCTCAAATATTTAAAATGCTTCTTTATGAACTCTTAATAAGCTTTAAGTGCAGGCGTCTGGCCCGTACCTTCAGCCTCATGTCCCGGGTGTGTCTCTCCAGCTCTTTCCTCAGCTCCTCGGTGGACAGCTTGTCCACGTCCAGCACCGAATGCCTCCACTCGATCTGCTCCACGCTGTGGGGGTCGTGTGACACGTAGTGCCCGATCTTGACCTTGCACAGCGTGTGCCAGTAGCCCCGATAGGCGGCCTGGAACTCCTGCAGGAGCTCGCTGAGCGTCCTGAACTCCAGCGGCTTGTACATCAGGTCCTGGCGTCGGCTGATGCCCAGGGCCCCGAAGCGGCCCCCGCTGTGGACGCCCAGCACTATGTGACGGAAATGACTCCCTGAGAACTGTGTTTTAAAGCTGAGAGGAAACCGCTCCACGTTCGGCATGCTGTTGGTGAGGTAACTGGCAGGCCAGCGGCGTTAAGGGTTATATTCAACAGACAGGGAACATTCATGAAATGAAATCTGTTTTCTAAATGCATGATTCATCTGTGCATACACTACTGCTCAAAAGTTTCGAATAATTCAGATTTGTTTTATGTTGTGGAATGAGTCTCTTCTGCTCACCAATGCTGCATTTATTTATCAAAAATAGAGTAAAAATAGTAAAATATAATTACAATTTAAAACAGGGGTTTTCTGTGTGAATATAGAGTCAAATGTAAGTTGTTCCTGTGATCAAAGCAAAATTTCAGCATCATTAGTCCATCCTACATCCATCACTCCATCCTACATCCATCACTCCATCCTACATCCATCACTCCATCCTACATCCATTACTCCATCCTACATCCATCACTCCATCCTACATCCATCACTCCATCCTACATCTATCACTCCATCCTACATCCATTACTCCATCCTACATCCATCACTCCATCCTACATCCATCACTCCATCCTACATCCATCACTCCATCCTACATCCATCACTCCATCCTACATCCATCACTCCATCCTACATCCATCACTCCATCCTACATCCATCACTCCATCCTACATCTATCACTCCATCCTACATCCATCACTCCATCCTACATCCATTACTCCATCCTACATCCATCACTCCATCCTACATCCATCACTCCATCCTACATCTATCACTCCATCCTACATCCATCACTCCATCCTACATCCATCACTCCATCCTACATCCATTACTCCATCCTACATCCATCACTCCATCCTACATCCATCACTCCATCCTACATCTATCACTCCATCCTACATCCATCACTCCATCCTACATCTATCACTCCATCCTACATCCATCACTCCATCCTACATCCATCACTCCATCCTACATCCATTACTCCATCCTACATCCATCACTCCATCCTACATCCATCACTCCATCCTACATCTATCACTCCATCCTACATCCATTACTCCATCCTACATCCATCACTCCATCCTACATCCATCACTCCATCCTACATCCATCACTCCATCCTACATCCATCACTCCATCCTACATCCATCACTCCATCCTACATCCATCACTCCATCCTACATCTATCACTCCATCCTACATCTATCACTCCATCCTACATCCATCACTCCATCCTACATCTATCACTCCATCCTACATCCATTACTCCATCCTACATCCATCACTCCATCCTACATCCATCACTCCATCCTACATCTATCACTCCATCCTACATCTATCACTCCATCCTACATCTATCACTCCATCCTACATCTATCACTCCATCCTACATCCATCACTCCATCCTACATCCATCACTCCATCCTACATCTATCACTCCATCCTACATCTATCACTCCATCCTACATCTATCACTCCATCCTACATCTATCACTCCATCCTACATCTATCACTCCATCCTACATCCATCACTCCATCCTACATCTATCACTCCATCCTACATCCATCACTCCATCCTACATCTATCACTCCATCCTACATCCATTACTCCATCCTACATCCATCACTCCATCCTACATCCATCACTCCATCCTACATCTATCACTCCATCCTACATCTATCACTCCATCCTACATCTATCACTCCATCCTACATCTATCACTCCATCCTACATCTATCACTCCATCCTACATCCATCACTCCATCCTACATCTATCACTCCATCCTACATCCATTACTCCATCCTACATCCATCACTCCATCCTACATCCATCACTCCATCCTACATCTATCACTCCATCCTACATCCATCACTCCATCCTACATCTATCACTCCATCCTACATCCATCACTCCATCCTACATCCATCACTCCATCCTACATCCATTACTCCATCCTACATCCATCACTCCATCCTACATCCATCACTCCATCCTACATCTATCACTCCATCCTACATCCATCACTCCATCCTACATCCATCACTCCATCCTACATCCATTACTCCATCCTACATCCATCACTCCATCCTACATCCATCACTCCATCCTACATCTATCACTCCATCCTACATCCATTACTCCATCCTACATCCATCACTCCATCCTACATCCATCACTCCATCCTACATCCATCACTCCATCCTACATCCATTACTCCATCCTACATCCATCACTCCATCCTACATCCATCACTCCATCCTACATCCATTACTCCATCCTACATCCATCACTCCATCCTACATCCATCACTCCATCCTACATTCATCACTCCATCCTACATCCATTACTCCATCCTACATCCATCACTCCATCTAGGGCTGTGAATATTTGAGTAGGCAGCGAATCGATTCGATTCACGATTCATAGGTTTTCGATTCGATTCAAGAACGATTTTTGCAAATTCAGAAAGATTCGATTCGATGCGATTCACATTAAAATTCGATGCGATTCGATTAATTCGATTCGATTCTTAATTTTTTATATGCATTCATAGGATTATTTAAATGCTTCCCCCAATGGGTCTTAGTCAGGGTGTGAATTATACAGCTGCCTTCGGGGGTCAGAGAGTGGGAACAAAAAGAAAGAAAAAAAAAACAACGACATTTTGTCTATTGTTAACGTTAGTTCATGTTAGTTTTTAATGAATCTATTCTTATAAAAAAATATTTCCAAAGCCTATAAATTAGCATTTGTAAAAATGTAAACCAAGATTTAAAAAGGCTTTAAAAGTATAGTTCATCATGCTAACTATTTTGTAGGAATGGATACACAACCTTAAAGTGTTCCTACATTAAACATCCTTCCATTGTGAGACTAAAAATACCATGAACTTTCCCAACTAAAACCTTAACTAACGTTTCCTCATGGAATAGCTATACTCTTTGTTTTCTCTTTATCCGACTGAACATTTTCCTTGTGAGAAAACGCTGTCTACTTGTGCTATATTAACGATTCCGAATGCAACTTTAATGCGCATCTGATTGATGGATAAACCACGCGCTCTTATTTCAGTGTAATTAATGTTGTAGTTATTTCATCAGTTCAGTTTAACGACATTAAGTTACATTTCATTCATCATTCATGATTAATCGGAAGCGTGTGCATTTTAGACACCTATTATACGTTTTCTCTTTCCATGTAATAAATGCGCACCCTTGAATAAGTGGGGTTTTACTTTAACTGCTCAGGACGGGTATGACCCATTTCCGTAAAACTTCAGTATCTTATCTTAAAGAAAATAACGGTGACGTTTCCACGCAACGAACGCGTTGTTTCATAGCAGTGACCGCGCAATGATATGGCAGCTTTATCAATGGCTTGCTTTCTCGATAGAGAGCTGTCATCTGCTCATGTGAACACCAATGGCTGTCCTGAGGAGAGCTCAAACATGGACTGCTCAAAAATCTGTAGATGAGAGCTATGGGACCGAGCGCGAGCGAAATCCAGTGAAAGATGGTAAGAGTGCAGCGAGTATGTGAGAGCTGTGAGGACGCGAAATGACGCCGCACAACGCCTCATTAATTCGCGCATGTAGTCATTTAATGACTGTTTTTATGTTTTAAAGCACTGAATCGATATAGAATCGCAAATTATTCGATTCTTAGCATTTTAAATCGAATATTGACCGAAATAAACGATTCACAATTCGAAATACATGTTTCAAGATCGATGCATATGCATCGTCAGGATTTGTAATCGATGCATCGAGAAAACGAATGAATCGTTACACCCCTAACTCCATCCTACATCCATTACTCCATCCTACATCCATTACTCCATCCTACATCCAGCACTCCATCCTACATCCATCACTCCATCCTACATTCATTACTCATCCTACATCCATCACTCCATCCTACATCCATCACTCCATCCTACATCCATTACTCCATCCTACATCCAGCACTCCATCCTACACCCCTAACTCCATCCTACATCCATTACTCCATCCTACATCCATTACTCCATCCTACATCCAGCACTCCATCCTACATCCATTACTCCATCCTACATTCATTACTCATCCTACATCCATTACTCCATCCTACATCCATCACTCCATCCTACATCCATTACTCCATCCTACATCCAGCACTCCATCCTACATCCATTACTCCATCCTACATTCATTACTCATCCTACATCCATCACTCCATCCTACATCCATCACTCCATCCTACATCCATCACTCCATCCTACATCCATCACTCCATCCTACATCCATTACTCCATCCTACATCCATCACTCCATCCTACATCCATTACTCCATCCTACATCCATCACTCCATCCTACATCCATCACTCCATCCTACATCCATTACTCCATCCTACATCCATTACTCCATCCTACATTCATTACTCATCCTACATCCATCACTCCATCCTAGATCCATCACTCCATCCTACATCCATTACTCCATCCTACATCCATCACTCCATCCTACATCCATTACTCCATCCTACATTCATTACTCATCCTACATCCATCACTCCATCCTACATCCATTACTCCATCCTACATCCATCACTCCATCCTACATCTATCACTCCATCCTACATCTATCACTCCATCCTACATTCATTACTCATCCTACATCCATCACTCCATCCTACATCCATCACTCCATCCTACATCCATCACTCCATCCTACATTCATTACTCCATCCTACATCCATCACTCCATCCTACATCCATCACTCCATCCTACATTCATTACTCCATCCTACATCCATTACTCCATCCTACATTCATTACTCATCCTACATCCATCACTCCATCCTACATCCATTACTCCATCCTACATTCATTACTCATCCTACATCCATCACTTCATTCTACATCCATCACTCCATCCTACATTCATTACTCCATCCTACATCCATCACTCCATCCTACATCCATCACTCCATCCTACATTCATTACTCCATCCTACATCCATCACTCCATCCTACATTCATTACTCCATCCTACATCCATCACTCCATCCTACATTCATTACTCATCCTACATCCATCACTCCATCCTACATTCATTACTCCATCCTACATCCATCACTCCATCCTACATTCATTACTCCATCCTACATCCATTACTCCATCCTACATCCATCACTCCATCCTACATTCATTACTCCATCATACATCCATCACTCCATCCTACATTCATTACTTCAACCTACATCCATCACTTCATCCTACATCCATCACTCCATCCTACATCCATCACTCCATCCTACATCCATTACTCCATCCTACATCCATCACTCCATCCTACATCCATCACTCCATCCTACATCCATCACTCCATCCTACATTCATCACTCCATCCTACATCCATCACTCCATCCTACATCCATTACTCCATCCTATATTCATTACTCCATCCTACATCCATCACTCCATCCTACATTCATTACTCCATCCTACATCCATTACTCCATCCTACATCCATCACTCCATCCTACATTCATTACTCCATCCTACATCCATTACTCCATCCTTCATCCATCACTCCATCCTACATTCATTACTCCATCCTACATCCATCACTCCATCCTAAATTCATTACTCCATCCTACATCCATTACTCCATCCTACATTAATTACTCCATCCTACATCCATTACTCCATCCTACATTCATTACTCCATCCTACATCCATCACTCCATCCTACATTCATTACTCCATCCTACATCCATCACTCCATCCTACATTCATTACTCCATCCTACATCCATCACTCCATCCTACATTCATTACTCCATCCTACATCCATCACTCCATCCTACATTCATTACTCCATCCTACATCCATCACTCCATCCTACATCCATTACTCCATCCTACATCCATCACTCCATCCTACATTCATTACTCCATCCTACATCCATCACTCCATCCTAAATTCATTACTCCATCCTACATCCATTACTCCATCCTACATCCATCACTCCATCCTACATTCATTACTCCATCCTACATCCATTACTCCATCCTACATCCATCACTCCATCCTACATTCATTACTCCATCCTACATCCATCACTCCATCCTAAATTCATTACTCCATCCTACATCCATTACTCCATCCTACATCCATTACTCCATCCTACATCCATTACTCCATCCTACATTCATTACTCCATCCTACATCCATTACTCCATCCTACATTCATTACTCCATCCTACATCCATCACTCCATCCTACATTCATTACTCCATCCTACATCCATTACTCCATCCTACATTCATTACTCCATCCTACATCCATCACTCCATCCTACATTCATTACTCCATCCTACATCCATCACTCCATCCTACATTCATTACTCCATCCTACATCCATTACTCCATCCTACATCTATCACTCCATCCTACATTCATTACTCCATCCTACATCCATTACTCCATCCTACATTCATTACTCCATCCTCTTGTTGCCTACATCCCTCTTTCTGTCATTGAAGTGTTTAGAACATGACTGGAAGACTAAACGTCACTGAACACAATTATAAACGCAACACTTTGGTTTTTGCCCCCATTTTTCATGAGCTGAACTCAAAGATCTAAGACTTTTTCTATGTACACAAAAGGCCTATTTCTCTCAAATATGGTTCACAAATCTGAATTTATTTTGAGCATCCAGCATCATAAAATATTGATAGACCCATCTCAAATCCTCCATTTATGCTGTAAATATACCCCCGCTCTCACAGACCAGCGTAAGCCTAGTCTCAGACTAACATGCACGTCTGAGCTGTTTTAACTGAAAGCAACTTGCACTAACATATCTTAAAATATGCACTTAATATGCACTATTATCTCAAGATGCACACCAGTACTGTTTTTAAGGCACATTTATAAAAGCTACTTAAATGTCCTAAAGGTCTAATTCTGGCTTAATCTAAGCCCTGTCTGTGAAACCAGGCCTCAGAGTTTAAATAAGGATTTAGGCCATAGTAAAAAGACAGTGCTTGTCAGAGTTACAGGTTGCTTTTATCATCTCTCATTTTGCATCTCTCTTCTAGTACTAATAGATTTTAGTGCCTCCTTTGACACAAAATATCATGTCATTCCCTTGGGCAAGTTATATACGATGTGTGGACAAGCATTAAGATGGTTTAGATCCTATTTGTCTGGTTGCTACCAGTTTGTGTGTGTGAAAGAGTGAAGAATGCAGTATGGACTACAGCGTGCCACAAGGTTCTGTGTCAGGTCCTCTGTCGTTTTCAGTGCACATGCTTCTATGTAAATAATGTTCATATATTCAATCCAGGTTTTAGTGAACTCCTAAGGGAAGGATACATCCCGAGGATAACGGCTTCCAAACATTTGATTGGTAGAGATTCTCTTGTCATTTCCTTGGCAATGTCCATCAATCTGAGGAACAAATTGTAGGTATTAATGCAATAAGAGTCTGAATGCAAGTAAACAACTATTGTAAAGGCATCTGATGATTGCATTATTCTGCTCACAAACATTCACAACCATTCAGAAAATCATTAGTATTAAAAATGAATATTGTGCAGGTACAGAAATATAGTCTAACTGGCTCATTTACAATTAGCTGTAACGGACTGCCTCTATCATTGTCACGGTGAAATAATATTTTCTTTATCTGATGTCATTATTAAAGCCATATTGTCCTCTTCTGCTCAGAGCTTTTTTCAACAAAACATAATCACATCATTATTTTTTACTAATTATGCCCTGATACGTATAATACATTTGTTTTGACTTGGACATATTTCTCCACACTACGTTCAACACTGTCAAAACAATCAACAGTCATTGGAACCGCCACCACATTAATTATTATTAGGTCAAAATTGTTTTAATCTACTGATTATATAATGTATTGTGTCAATTAGAGTATTCTAGAAATTGACATGTCCTTCCAGGTTTATTAAAAAAGCTCATTTGTTTAAGGTACTAAATATAATTAAACACGAACGTCTATCTGTGGCATCTCAAACATTGATCATTAATAATATCTAATGTTTCTGGAAATATCCATCCATCTTCTTCCGCTTATCCGGGGCCGGGTCGCGGGGGGCAGCAGTCTAAGCAGAGACGCCCAGACTTCCCTCTCCCTAGACACTTCCTCCAGCTCTTCCGGGGGGACACCGAGGCGTTCCCAGGCCAGCCGGGAGACATAGTCCCTCCAGCGTGTCCTAGGTCTTCCCCGGGTCTCCTCCCAGTGTGACGTGCACGGAACACCTTCCCGGGAAGGCGCCCAGGAGGCATCCGGAACAGATGACCGAGCCACCTCAGCTGACCCCTCTCGATGTGGAGGAGCAGCGGCTCTACTCTGAGCTCCTCCCGAGTGACCGAGCTTCTCACCCTATCTCTAAGGGATCGCCCAGCCACCCTGCGGAGAAAGCTCATTTCGGACGCCTGTATCCGGGATCTTGTCCTTTCGGTCATGACCCAAAGCTCATGACCATAGGTGAGAGTAGGAACGTAGATTGATTGGTAAATTGAGAGCTTCGCCTTGCGGCTCAGCTCCTTCGTCACCACGACAGACCGGTACATCGATCGCATTACTGCAGAAGCTGCACCAATCCGTCTGTCAATCTCCCGTTCCATCCTTCCCTCACTCGTGAACAAAACCCCAAGATAATTAAACTCCTCCACTTAAGGCAGGAACTCTCCACCAACCTGAAGTGGGCAAGCCACCCTTTTCCGACTGAGGACCATGGCCTCGGATTTGGAGGTGCTGATTCTCATCCCAGCCGCTTCACACTCGGCTGCAAACCGTCCCAGTGCATGCTGAAGGTCCTGGTCTGAAGGCGCCAGCACGACAACATCATCCGCGAAGAGCACAGACAAAATCTTGTGGTCCCCAAACCTGACACCCTCCGGCCCCTGGCTGCGCCTAGAAATTCTGTCCATGAAAATTATGAACAGAACCGGCAACAAAGGGCAGCCCTGCTGGAGTCCAACATGCACCGGGAAGAAGTCTGACTTACTGCCGGCAATGCGAACCAAGCTCCTGCTTCGGTCATACAGGGACCGGACAGCCCTTAGCAAAGGACCCCGGACCCCATACTCCCGGAGCACCCTCCACAGGCCACCTCGGGGGACACAGTCGAATGCCTTCTCCAAATCCACAAAGCACATGTGGATTGGGTGGGCAAACTCCCATGAACCCTCCAGCACCCTGTAGAGAGTATAGAGCTGGTCCAGTGTTCCACGGCCTGGACGAAAGCCGCACTGTTCCTCCTGAATCCGAGGTTCCACTATCAGCCGTATTCTCCTCTCCAGTATCCTGGCATAGACTTTCCCAGGGAGGCTGAGAAGTGTGATCCCCCTGTAGTTGGAACACACCCTCCGGTCCCCCTTCTTAAAAAGAGGGACCACCACCCCGGTCTGCCACCCAGAGGCACTGTCCCCGACCGCCACGCGATGCTGCAGAGGCGTGTCAACCAAGACAGCCCCACAACATCCAGAGACTTGAGGTACTCAGGGCGGATCTCATCCACCCCCGGTGCCTTGCCACCGAGGAGTTTCTTAACTACCTCGGTGACTTCAGCTTGGGTGATGGGCGAGTCCACCTCTGAGCCCTCAGCCTCTGCTTCCTCAATGGAAGACATGACGGCGGGATTGAGGAGATCCTCGAAGTATTCCTTCCACCGTCCGACGACATCCCCAGTTGAGGTCAATAGCTGCCCACCTCCACTGTAAACAGCGTTGGTAGGGCACTGCTTCCCTCCCCTGAGGCGCCGGACAGTTTGCCAGAATCTCTTCGAGGCCAGCCGATAGGCCTTCTCCATGGCCTCACCGAACTCCTCCCAGGCCCGAGGTTTTGCCTCCACAAACACCCGGGCTGCAGTCCGCTTGGCCTGCCGGTACCCGTCAGCTGCCTCCGGAGTCCCACAAGTCAATCAGGCCCGATAGGACTCCTTCTTCAGCTTGACGGCATCCTTTACTTCCGGTGTCCACCACCGGGTTCGGGGATTGCCGCCTCGACAGGCACCGGAGACCTTACGGCCACAGCTCCGAGCGGCCGCTTTGACAATGGAGGTGGAGAACATGGTCCACTCGGACTCAATATCTCCAGCCTCCCTCGGGATCCGGTTGAGGCTCTGCCGGAGGTGGGAGTTGAAGATCTCTCTGACAGGAGACTCGGCCAAACGTTCCCAGCAGACCTTCACAGTACGCTTGGGTCTGCCGAGTCTGTCCAGCTTCCTCCCCCACCATCAGATCCAACTCACCACCAGGTGGTGATCAGTTGACAGCTCCGCCCCTCTCTTCACCCGAGTGTCCAAGACATACGGCCGCAGGTCAGATGAAACGACCACGAACTCGATCATCGACCTACGGCCTAGGGTGTCCTGGTGCCACGTGCACTGGTGCACACCCTTATGCTTGAACACGGTGTTCGTTATGGACAAACTGTAACTAACACAGAAGTCCAATAACTGAACACCGCTCGGGTTCAGGTCAGGGGGGCCGTTCCTCCCAATCACGCCCCTCCAGGTGTCACTGTCGCTGCCCACGTGGGCGTTGAAGTCCCCAAGTAGAACGACGGAGTCCCCAGTCGGAGCACTTTCCAGCACTCCTCCCAGAGACCCCAAGAAGGCCGGGTACTCTGCACTGCCGTTTGGCCCGTAGGCACGCACGACAGTGAGAGACCTATCCCCGACCCGTAGGCGCAGGGAAACGACCCTCTCGTTCACCGGGGTAAACTCCAACACATGGCGGCTGAGCTGGGGGGCTATAAGCAAGCCCGGCCATCTGGAAATATGTGTTGTGTATGTTTATGGTTAATTCATTCAGAAAATTAGATTTTTTTTTTGGGGGGGGGATATTGGAATATTACTTCAACTTAAATTACAATGTTGCATCCTTTTTGCTACTAAAATTCAAAATTCAGGTATTCAATTGAAAGTTTTTCTCAGGTAATGTCTGGATGGCATCAGCGCAGGCCAGCGGCACGACTCTGCTTTTGATGATATTCTAGAAGGAGGGAGCAGATGTGTGGATGATGTGTGGACTGGACTTACGCGGTGAGCGGCCGGCTCTTCTTGATCTCGAAGAACTGTGTTCCAGTGTGATTGTATCTGACAGACAATGTTAAGCACAGAACACAAACAATGTGCTATATAAAGTCACCAGAGTTTACTCAACGTGAATCTACTGCTACACTAAAAATGATTTGCACAATACAGCAGATAAAAGGCATGATTACTTTTCACAAAATATCGTATTAATAATCATATGAGAAATATCTATGACATACATTGTGTCACAATCAGTGTGAGCAGCTCAACTACAACAGAGCAATCACTGATGCACAGCAGCTTCCAGGACAATCACATTTAATAACAGGCTCCCTGTAACGTTGAGCAGACTCGCAAACTGGGGACAGCTGGATCCACATGCAGAGATAAGACACACACTAACTGGAAATATCAGAGAAACATGGAACAGGAGCAGAACTGAAAACAGAGGAACAAAACTGAGCATATCAGCGAAACAGCCATCACTGGAGAAGACCGGACCATGAACACAGGAAACACTGGGGTATACACACACACACACACACACACACACACACACACACTAACAAGATAACAAGGGACAGGTGAGGGTAATTAATCACTATAGCAGCAAACAAGGGTAACTATGGAGACGACCATCCCAGCTAAGGAAACAATACAAACACAGGGAGTAAAACACATGAGCAATGTTAACAGAAAATACATATCAATATAGAATTAAACACAAAACAGGGGTAACAAGACAGGGATGCCACACTGCCAGGTCTTCTGAAGTCATGTGATGCTGAGAAAGAGGAACAGACCCAAAGTCATAATTCACTGATAATCTTCCTCCATCACGCTCTATAACCTCATTTGTCCCTCTTTTATTAAGTCGATCTGGATAAAAGTGTCTGCTAAAATGCATAAATGTAAATGTGAATTTGTATATTGAAGCTTGCCGTGTCAGGATTGATCACACAAGAAATGAGAACCAATGGAGTTTAGGCATCATTAGCTTTTCCATCCACATGTGACTTATGCACAACATTTTTAAATCACATAAAACATTTATGAATAAAGCAGCGTTTCCATCACGAGTGTTCAAGAGAACAACATCGTCACTTCCTGGGAAATACGGGATCTGTCGAACGACCAGGACCAATCCGGGACACTGGTCTGATTGTTCTGCTCGTCAGAGAGCGTTAAGAGCAGTTTGAACTGACGGCATATCTATGGACAAGGTTTACTCAGCGAACCTACCTAGTTCACGTTGTTATTGGTGTTTTATTCAATTAAATATCGAAACTTTAGTGTGAAAAAATAAAAAAGCTTTTAGATATCAATCTGCAAATGCGAGGGACATCAGTTATTCTCATCTTTGCTCACTCCTTTTAAGTTATCTTGAATAAAACAGCTATTTTTTTTCACGAAGCACATACAAAAGACGTAAAGCGAAAGCGATCCGATCTGATCTGACCCCCATTGGTGCAAAATATCAGTAATAAACTGTAAGTTTCTGTAATCGGCGGTTTCCCTCCATCATAAGCGAGTGTGTGTCGAGCGTGAGACGAAACACAGTAACGCTGTCGTGTTCTCTGGCGTTCGGATGCTGGTGTTCGGGAACACACTCGTGTGTGTGAGACGCTTCTGGAGGGAATTACACCCAATCATGATCACACACTTCGACTTCCAGAAACACCAAAACAGAGCTGCGTTCAGCCCCGACAAAACGTTGCACAGCGTGTTTTAAACAGAGACAGAGAGCGTTGAACACACTGTTCTGATGACGCAAGAGTTGCAGCTACGGCAGCAGAGAAGGCCATTCTTTGTGTTCTTTGTGAAGAATTTACGGAGCCTGATGAAGTCGGTATAAATATGTGTTTAATACTACAAAATATGCCCGATGTTACAGTTACTGCACTTGCCGCCCAGAACACAAGAGAGCATCCCAGTCGAGTGAAGGGGTTTGTGGAAACTGAAATGGAAGCACACATCTTACCTAATTCAGACTAAAACACATCTATTTATCCTCACATACTGACTTTATTTGTAGTTCTTACTGTTTTAATTCCCTGTATTTTCTTTCTCATTTTTAGGAAAAGCACTTAATTACCATTGTTTATTTCTATACCAAATGTCACACACTTGCAATGAAGCTAAAAATATAAACAACTACATCATTATGTTGATATCCTATATTTTTACAATAAAACTTACGACAAACATGTCTTCTAATATCCTCAGTTGCGTATACCGAGCTGCATCGAACACATTTGTAAATGACTTTCCTTGAACCCATTGTGTGAGTTCACTTTAATACCGTGTGCTTTATATACATGTTGCTGCTGATTGGACTGCAGTTCTGACACGCCCACCAAACAAGAGAAAACGCATCTCAAACCCCGGTGCACACCGGCGCACGCCGCTAACATGACGGTCAACCCGGAAACCGTAGCAGAACGCTGCGCACCGTTTTGAACTGGAACGCGACACCATTGGTCCACCAGTTACTCCAGTTACTCCAGTTATCCAATCACAGCTCGCGCTGAGTGAAAGTCACAGGAGACCATCGAGGGATTTATTCAGTAAATAAATGGAAACATTTTATGTGCATTTTTACAAGTTATGCACATCTTAGCATTTCCGTTCAGTATTTTTATGCATTATCCTAATAAATAGGTGGATGGAAACATTCAGCTGTTGACATCATATCTGGGGCACGTTCAAGTTCAAAACGGTGCGCAGCGTTCTGCTACGGTTTCCGGGTTGAACGTCATGTTAGCGGCGTGCGCCGGTGTGCAACGGGGTTTGAGATGCGTTTTCTCTTGTTTGGTGGGCGTGTCAGAACTGCAGTCCAATCAGCAGCAACATGTATATAAAGCACACGGTATTAAAGTGAACTCACACAATGGGTTCAAGGAAAGTCATTTACAAATGTGTTCGATGCAGCTCGGTATACGCAACAACTGAGGATATTAGAAGACATGTTTGTCGTAAGTTTTATTGTAAAAATATAGGATATCAACATAATGATGTAGTTGTTTATGTTTTTAGCTTCATTGCAAGTGTGTGACATTTGGTATAGAAATAAACAATGGTAATTAAGTGCTTTTCCTAAAAATGAGAAAGAAAATACAGGGAATTAAAACAGTAAGAACTACAAATAAAGTCAGTATGTGAGGATAAATAGATGTGTTTTAGTCTGAATTAGGTAAGATGTGTGCTTCCATTTCAGTTTCCACAAACCCCTTCACTCGACTGGGATGCTCTCTTGTGTTCTGGGCGGCAAGTGCAGTAACTGCAACATCGGGCATATTTTGTAGTATTAAACACATATTTATATCGACTTCATCAGGCTCCGAAAATTCTTCACAAAGAACACAAAGAATGGCCTTCTCAGCTGCCGTAGCTGCAACTCTTGCGTCATCAGAACAGTGTGTTCAACACATCCCCGTTTCTGTTTAAAACACACTGTGCAAGGTTTTGTCGGAGCTGAGCGCAGCCTGGTCTGACAAGAGTTGAACTGAACACATTACACAAGGACAAATGAGATTACACTTCAGTCTCTTTCTCACACTAAACTATCACATGACTCGGATTATTAAGCACTGTTATAAACTTATACTTTTTTGCTTTATGATTTTTGGAGTTTGGTAGGAAATTTTTGGGGGAATCATTACTTTATATAAATTAGCTTCAAACTCCGACCTTCATCGTGAATGTTAGTCAGGAATCAGCAAACATGTTATAAAGTTCATATAGCATGCAGTAACTCCATGAAAACTGCAGATTGAAGGACATAAAGTCACTGTAAACATGTTCGCCCTCAGATACTGGAGAAGCAAAGTGACTTCAGATATTAAGTTTTGCTTTCTGAAAAAAAAAATCAAAATGAAGTGAGTTTGAGCTTTAAACAAGAACCAATATCTGCCATTGGGGTCAGAAAAATAAACGTTAAGAATAAACCCTTTGACTTAAGTTGACTTTGTCTTCGCCCGTTGACCGATATTTGTCCTTGTTTGAGGCTCAAACTCGGTGCGGTGTGAGTCGGGAGACGATGAGCTGAGGTGAAGGATACTGCAGGTCCCTGATGTATCTCTGAATGGCCTCCAGGCGGTGGGGAACGCTGGCGCTGGCCGGGAGTGTAGGCACACTTGGTACTGGAATCTGCAGCACAGAAGAGCGACACCATCACCCCCACACTGGGACCAACAACAGGCCGGATCATTCAGTGGGTTACGTTACTTTTATCACACAGGCTGACTCTGCTTGTTTGTTTTTAATAAAAAAATCAAAAAATGTGTCAAATGTAAAGGCCCTTTCACAGCAAAAGTGAAGTGAATAATCCTCAGGCTGGAGGAAACACAGACTCACTCCTGAACAGTAGAGGGCGCCGCTCACACAAACCTCTCAGTGCTGCCGTTCGGGACCACAGAAGAAGAAACTTCAACACTTCAGCAGTAAACACACAAATGTGATGTTTAACTAAAGTCATGTTTGCTTCTTAGATATCTTTAATACTTCTTCAGTTTCAGGCATGCAAACTAGAAAAATAATATTTATGGCACTCGGACAGGTATATTCTATGCAATAATGTTGATAGAAAAAACAAGATACATTTCTAGTTTCAACATTATTTGTTGTTCAGATATTCCTCTTTAAAAGAAGAAAGCATCAGCTGTGTGCAAAGAGACACACATTTGGTTTTTGACCACTGTAAATGTGTTCAGTTTACTCCCGGAGCCGCATTAAGATCTCCGTATCTCTGGGGTTGAGCCATCAAGGGCCTTTACAATGAAGATACTAAAAGTAAAGTTTATTAAGAATTAGAATCTACAAAAGATATTAAGGTATCTCTAATTATTCTTGAGTTACAGGCATTCAAACTTCAGGCAAAAAACACAAGAAGTGCTTTTCCCAGTTGACTGTCGCTGTTGGCGTGTAATGCAGCAGAGAGAGCAGAAGTCCCTGTAGATCCACTCATCTCTGTGTAGAAATATAATAAAGATGCTGCCATCTTTCTAAAGTCATGTTTACACCCCTGTAAGTTGGCTCCAAATCTCAGGTGAAAATATTCATTTTGACCCTCCTTTACAGAATAGTGGATTAGTCAGTAAATATACAGCAATTACATATAATATTTTGGATTTCATCACTATTTATCTTTGTCTTTCTTCAGAAAATAAATATTATCAAGTTGGGGAAGTTTCTGCAATTTAGTTGATTTGACACGAAACTACCGTTTGTGTATATATATTTAAATATGTCGTTTTTATATATAATACACATTTATAAATGAGTAGTTTCAGATGTGACTGCACTGCTGGGACTGTAGATCTGTCCCTCACTCATGCCTAACACACACTGGGTGCAATCTTCCTGAAGATCCCCATGAGGACTACAGACGCCCGGACCCGGCGGTGCTGAGAAGGCTGTGCGCCACTAATGCAATCTAACGCTGTTTCTCTCACAGTTGCAAGTTTGTGTCTCACAATTATGTATTTTTTCCCCTTAAATCTGAATTACCTTTCTTTATTCCGAGCCGGAAACAACATAGCAAACACTTTTGCGTTCAAAAGACGTCTAATAGCGTCCAAACACAGCCTGACGTCTAGCCTAACACAAGGCAAAGTTTGGGCGGCCAGTGAACATTTAATAGACGTATAAGAATAGACTAGTCCTCAATTAGACAACAAAGAAATGAAATGAGTGAAGAAATGAAACCAAACCCCTTGTAATCACTGTTGACTTTGCTTACATGATGGAATATCAAAGATCTCGCAAGTTATTTTGGCAAAAACGACATGTAACCAAATCCAAGGTTATTTTGTCTATAAGTGTGTTCCTCACAGCCGGACTATATCGGGTCTATAGTTCACCGAGACAGAGGGAGCCTTCCAAACCCTACATGTGTTCCTGAACCCCTGACCCGAGGCTTACAGTGACGTTAAGATCTCTGGTGTCGGTGAGAGCTGTACCTTCGGCAGGTCGCTGGTTCCCCGGATCCGCCCGCCCAGCGCTCCTCCATCCGGGTGTATGCGGGTCACGTGATGCCACATCTGCTCCCAGGTGTCGGGGTTCACGGGCAGACCCCCCCTGTTGATGATGAAGGGGACCCCCCCGTCCCGCTGGTCCTCTCCGTCCTCCTCCTGGTCCTCGTCCCGCTCCTCCACTCCCTCCAGACTGAAGGAGGAGCGCAGCATCTTCAGCCCGTCAGAGGCGCTGGGCTGGCCCAGACAGGCCCTGACCCCGGCCGGGCCCGGGACGCTCCTCCGGGGGGACGAGCCGGGCCCCAGCGCCCCGCAGCACGACACCGGCATGGGCCGAGGCGCCGCAACACTAGCTCAGAGACCCGCGGACCGGACACAGGCTAACCGCGGCTCCTTAGGGCGCCCATTACGCTGGGAAAACCTTATACTGAATGTTTTAAAAAATTGGTTTTATGACCGTTAATACTTTCTTTATTACAACTTTGCTAACATTATGGGAATGTTACGTTTGAATGTTCTCTTAATGTTCTGAAACAAGTCGTGACATTTAAAAAAACATTCATCTAAAACATTGTTTTTTTGTTTTGTTTTTTGAAAAAAGGTTCTGTGAATGCTGTAAATAATGTTTCTGTGCTAATGTTTTGAGAACATTATTAAAGAGCAGATTCTGTTAATGTTCCTGTGCGGGCCTGTGGTCCAGCTGGGTGCCGAACCGACACAGCCAACACTCTCAACATATATCAACCAACATACTAACATTCATATACAAATCTCAAATCAGTCCTGAACTCCCATCATACTGACTACATGCTGATCATCACACACTGATGTACAGAAACCATCGTGTTAGACGAGAAATAAACAGCATTGCATCTTAAAGTCGAGATTTAAATGTAACACGGAGAATACAGGTCACGTGGATGAGTTAAATACCGGTATATGTGCCGGGAATCAGAAACATTACTAGACAATGAGGCCAGAGACGCTCCTCTGACGTCACCGATGCCGGTCTCTGTCGCGCGCTTAAACACAGCTCGACGCGGTACAGCCGTTCCCCGTGATCAGCTTCTGCATTCGGTCCCGGTGTTCTGTCCGAGCCATCGCCCTGTTCGGTCCAGATCCCGTTATACGCCCGAGAATGCGATGCCCGATTCGCGAACAACTCTTTGTTTTGAACTGATTCATTTGAATGATTCGGGCGAACCGATTCGCGATGCGTTTGTAGGTCACTTTGTTCAGGTGAGATTAAAACAATATTGTTAATTTTGGAAATAATACCGTTAATAATTAGCATTATTTTTGTATTGGTTACGTGTTTTTAATGATGTTCATAATGATGTTCATAATAATAATGTTGTTGAAAAACACAACACTGGTTTCAATGAACTGTGAACCAGTTCATTGAAACGAACCGTCCGAACGAACCGATTGGCTAAAATGATTCGGATTTTCCAGCGCTGAAGACGTGATCGACTCTCCCAAATCCCTGTTTGATGCGCATGCGCACAACGAAAAGACATCTGGCATGCGAAACAAAGTTTTGCAAAAGAAAAATAAAGTATTGAGCTAAGAAATGTTTTTTTTTTTTAACAAAAATAGAGAATGGCAAAATTAAAAAAGTATTGAGAGAGAACAAGAGTTTTTGCAGGCAAACAAAAATAAAGAATAGCAAAATATAAATAAAGATATGATTAATTGCTGCAACAGATTTTTAGCAGCAGTGATTTTCCATAGCGACACCTACTAATGCATTTGCAAGGCTCCTTTTATTCTGAGTTGCAGTCGAGTGTGAGCTTGCAGTATCATGTCCCCTTTCCCTGAGCAAGATGCTGATCCAGGACACTGGAGGTTTGGGTTTGACCATCAGTGGCCAGCCAATCAGAGCCGGTGTCGTGATCCTGTCCCGGGCCGTTCCCCAGCCCGTTCGAGCCATTCCAAGGCAGTTTATTAGTAATACACATCGCTTCAAAGCAGCTTTATAGATTGCATTACTATATTGTGGTGGTGTGTAATAATAATTACTGTGATAAAAAGTCCATTACTCTTTTTTAGTCCTTTAGCCACCCAGACTGTTGCAAGCTTATATTATATTCTTAGTTGATAATATTTAATTATATTTATTATATATTATATGACGTGTTTATCTCCATAACTATTGGTTGGTTGTGCCCGTGTTGGACTGTAATGGTTCCTCAATAATGGACACCAAAAATATATGGCCAATTAAAACAGAGGCAGAAAGTTTCTTATAAATGAATATTTATTCAAACTTGAAAAACATGAATAATCATATCAATATTAAAAAAATAGGGAAAACGTGTATCCACAACATCTAGATTTAAAGCAATAATACAAAATAAAATATCTATCTATCTATCTATCTATCTATCTATCTATCTATCTATCTATCTATCTATCTATCTATCTATCTATCTATCTATCTGTCTGTCTGTCTGTCTGTCTGTGTGTGTGTCTGTCTGTCTGTGTGTCTGTCTGTCTATCTATCTATCTATCTATCTATCTATCTATCTATCTATCTGTCTGTCTGTCTGTGTGTCTGTCTGTCTATCTATCTATCTGTCTGTCTGTCTGTCTGTCTGTCTGTCTGTGTGTCTGTCTGTGTGTCTGTCTGTCTGTGTGTCTGTCTGTCTGTCTGTCTGTCTATCTATCTGTCTGTCTGTCTGTCTGTGTGTCTATCTGTCTGTCTGTGTGCATGTCTATCTGTCAGTCTGTCTGTGTGTCTGTGTGTCTGTCTGCCTGCTCACACTGACCCGCCACAGTAAAGCAGAGCACAGTGTCATTAGGGGAATTGGTCCTCGTGGCGAGAGAGTGAATCTGTGCCATCTGACGCTCAGGGATTTATGGGTTTAGTCAAAATTGCTTTTGCCGGCGTGGAGATTAGTGTGTGTGTGATGTTGCGAGGCGATGTCCGCAGGCGAAGCGCTGAGGGGAATGTGAGCGCTGAAGATGTGCAGCATGCAGCTGGAGACGGTGCTCGTGTTCATGTGTGTGTGTCTGCTGGGAGCGGCCGGGAGATCCACACACAGGAGAGCACACCGAGCCGACGGCTTCAAGCAGAGCAGGTATGAGCCCTGATCACCCTGAACCCCATCCCTGGTGCCTGTCTCTCCTGGCAGATCTCCTGGCAGGTTCTCATCATCAGTTCAGTGGCTGTAAACGCTTGACTCGGCGTGATGGAAAACCTCGAGCAGCTTCCCTTAAATCATCCTCATGTCGGTCAGACGCTTCACACACGGGGCTTCCCACCGCGGGACATTGTAATATTCGAAAGAAGCTTTTGTGCAACGGAACATGTTCAGTGTGGTTCTGAACTCTAGGGTTCTTGACTGAGTTTTAGAGAACCGAATGTTTAACAGATAATTTTTTTTTTTCTAGTGATAAAGTATGTTTATGAGCTGCTTACAGTTTTTCTCTGTCGCTTTGGTGCATTTCTCGAATCATCCTCCACATTTGTAAAACAGTAAGTGCATTTCTCAAAACAATTCGTACAAATAGCAAAACACCGGATTACATGCAAAAGCCAGTCTTGCTCAAAATCCTCAGTTCATCTCTCAAAAGTAAATATCTGTGTCAGTGAACATGCCAGCGCATCAGAATGACAAGTGCTTGTGTTTGTGTACGGATAAGGCAGTCAAGTTGCGTAGTCATGTTGTCAATATAACAGTGTACTCTGGAGATGTTCTGATGTAAACTATGGATAAAGTTTTGATAAATTGTAGGTTACACACTTTAGTGTATGTGGGAGTTCGATTGCAAGGGACTGGACAAGATTCACACACTTTTACTGTTTGTACGGTTGACAGATCATGTCATTGCAGTACAGAAAGGAAAGACAGCACTGCAACACAAAGACAAAAAAAAGCAGAGATGTGAACATGACAGATTTAGAAAAAAAGTCTAATGGAAATCTATAGAAATATGCTTGACATTTTATGACAACTTGTTGAACCATTTTGCATGTAAAGACTTATGCTATGAACTAATGCCTAAATATTGTGGGGGGAGAGACTCAACCGAGAACCATTATAATACATTTTGATCAACATGACATAAGCGACTGATAATGTAGGAAACAGCAGAGAACTGTACGTAATCATTTGCATGGATGTACCAATGCATTTGCAACTTGTTCAAATAAATGAGAAACTGCTTTTGATGTGCACGAGTGACTGATGATGTGGAGATTGAACAGGTCGTTTTGAGAATTTCAATTCTGATCTGAGAAATATACCAAAGCGACTGAGAAAAACTGTAATTAAAACTCAATCCATAAAATGATCCCATGATGGAAAAAAGTTAGGTTAAAAAAGTTCTTTATGCACTAATATATTTTCAAATATATTAACATTCTTTAATTAGGACACATTTACTGGAGAAGCAAAATTACAGATATTACTGTTTACTAAAAAATTGCTTAAATCAAGAACAAATATCTGCCAATGGGGTCAGAAAATAATCAACTTGATTGACAAGATTATTTTTCTAAAAATAATGCTTTGTGTGAGAATGTCGAATGGTTCTCGGTCCATGAGCAGCGTTTATTGAAATAAGCAAAGGCAATGCAGTACACACACTCGCCAGCAGGGCAATGCAGTACACACACTCGCCAGCAGGGCAATGCAGTACACACACTCGCCAGCAGGGCAATGCAGTACACACACTCGTCAGTACACACACTCGTCAGCAGGGCAATGCAGTACACACACTCGCCAGCAGGGCAATGCAGTACACACACTCGCCAGCAGGGCAATGCAGTACACACACTCGCCAGCAGGGCAATGCAGTACACACACTCGCCAGCAGGGCAATGCAGTACACACACTCGCCAGCAGGGCAATGCAGTACACACACTCGCCAGCAGGGCAATGCTGTACACACACTCGCCAGCAGGGCAATGCAGTACACACACTCGCCAGCAAGGCAATGCAGTACACACACTCGCCAGCAAGGCAATGCAGTACACACACTCGCCAGCAGGGCAATGCAGTACACACACTCGCCAGCAGGGCAATGCAGTACACACACTCGCCAGCAAGTACACACACTCGCCAGCAGGGCAATGCAGTACACACACTCGCCAGCAGGGCAATGCAGTACACACACTCGCCAACAGGGCAATGCAGTACACACACTCGCCAGCAGGGCAATGCAGTACACACACTCGCAAACAGGGCAATGCAGTACACACACTCGCCAGCAGGGCAATGCAGTACACACACTCGCCAGCAGGGCAATGCTGTACACACACTCGCCAGCAGGGCAATGCAGTACACACACTCGCCAGCAGGGCAATGCAGTACACACACTCGCCAACAGGGCAATGCTGTACACACACTCGCCAGCAGGGCAATGCAGTACACACACTCGCCAGCAGGGCAATGCAGTACACACACTCGCAAACAGGGCAATGCAGTACACACACTCGCCAGCAGGGCAATGCAGTACACACACTCGCCAGCAGGGCAATGCAGTACACACACTCGCCAGCAAGGCAATGCAGTACACACACTCGCCAGCAGGGCAATGCAGTACACACACTCGCCAGCAGGGCAATGCAGTACACACACTCGCCAGCAGGGCAATGCAGTACACACACTCGCCAGCAAGTACACACACTCGCCAGCAGGGCAATGCAGTACACACACTCGCCAGCAGGGCAATGCAGTACACACACTCGCCAACAGGGCAATGCAGTACACACACTCGCCAGCAGGGCAATGCAGTACACACACTCGCAAACAGGGCAATGCAGTACACACACTCGCCAGCAGGGCAATGCAGTACACACACTCGCCAGCAGGGCAATGCAGTACACACACTCGCCAGCAAGGCAATGCAGTACACACACTCGCCAACAGGGCAATGCAGTACACACACTCGCCAGCAGGGCAATGCAGTACACACACTCGCCAGCAAGGCAATGCAGTACACACACTCGCCAATAGGGCAATGCAGTACACACACTCGCCAACAGGGCAATGCAGTACACACACTCGCCAGCAGGGCAATGCAGTACACACACTCGCCAGCAAGGCAATGCAGTACACACACTCGCCAACAGGGCAATGCAGTACACACACTCGCCAACAGGGCAATGCAGTACACACACTCGCCAACAGGGCAATGCAGTACACACACTCGCCAGCAAGGCAATGCAGTACACACACTCGCCAACAGGGCAATGCAGTACACACACTCGCCAACAGGGCAATGCAGTACACACACTCACCAGGGCAATGCAGTACACACACTCGCCAACAGGGCAATGCAGTACACACACTTGCCAACAGGGCAATGCAGTACACACACTCGCCAACAGGGCAATGCAGTACACACACTCGCCAACAGGGCAATGCAGTACACACACTCGCCAACAGGGCAATGCAGTACACACACTCGCCAGCAAGGCAATGCAGTACACACACTCGCCAACAGGGCAATGCAGTACACACACTCGCCAACAGGGCAATGCAGTACACACACTCACCAGGGCAATGCAGTACACACACTCGCCAACAGGGCAATGCAGTACACACACTCGCCAACAGGGCAATGCAGTACACACACTCGCCAACAGGGCAATGCAGTACACACACTCGCCAACAGGGCAATGCAGTACACACACTCGCCAGCAGGGCAATGCAGTACACACACTCGCCAACAGGGCAATGCAGTACACACACTCGCCAGCAGGGCAATGCAGTACACACACTCGCCAGCAAGGCAATGCAGTACACACACTCGCCAGCAGGGCAATGCAGTACACACACTCGCCAGCAGGGCAATGCAGTACACACACTCGCCAGCAGGGCAATGCAGTACACACACTCGCCAGCAGGGCAATGCAGTACACACACTCGCCAGCAGGGCAATGCTGTACACACACTCGCCAGCAGGGCAATGCAGTACACACACTGGCCAGCAGGACAATGCAGTACACACACTCGCCAGCAGGGCAATGCAGTACACACACTCGCCAGCAGGACAATGCAGTACACACACTCGCCAGCAGGGCAATGCAGTACACACACTCGCCAGCAGGACAATGCAGTACACACACTCGCCAGCAGGGCAATGCAGTACACACACTCGTCAGCAAGGCAATGCAGTACACACACTCGCCAGCAGGGCAATGCAGTACACACACTCGCCAGCATGGCAATGCAGTACACACACTCGCCAGCAGGGCAATGCAGTACACACACTCGCCAGCAGGGCAATGCAGTACACACACTCGCCAGCAGGGAATCAAGACAGCCAATCCGAAGGGCAGAGACAGATAACAGTTCGTAGTTCACAGTAGTCGGTGACAGGATAATCCGCAAATGTAGTCCAAAACACAACTATATTCCAAGGCAGGCGAACAGGTGTCAAGCAGTGCAATTAAACATTAACAGGAAAACAATACTTCACAAAAAACGAGAGAACAGAGGGTGTGTAAATACTCCAAAGGCAATGACAAACAGCTGGAGCCCATAATGAGCCTGTACAGAGGATTCTGGGAAATGAGGTCCAAGAACCCAGCTGTTCAATATTCAGGGGATGGGATTTCCCATCCAGGGACTGAGCAGACTCAGCCCTGCTTAGCTTCAGTGGGAAACCAGTCTTCGGCTTCAATGGGAAACCAGTCTTGGGATACAGTGGGAAACCAGTCTTGGGCTACAGTGGGAAACCAGTCTTGGGCTTTAGTGGGAAACCAGTTTTGGGCTTCAGTGGGAAACCAGTCTTGGGCTACACTGGGAAACCAGTCTTGGGCTACAGTGGGAAACCAGTCTTGGGCTTCAGTGGGAAACCAGTTTGGGCTTCAGTGGGAAACCAGTCTTGGGCTTCAGTGGGAAACCAGTCTTGGGCTTCAGTGGGAAACCAGTCTTGGGCTTCAGTGGGAAACCAGTCTTGGGCTTCAGTGGGAAACCAGTCTTGGGCTTCAGGGGGAAACCTGTCTTGGGCTACAGTGGGAAACCAGTCTTGGGCTTCAGTGGGAAACCAGTTTTGGGCTTCAGTGGGAAACCAGTCTTGGGCTACAGTGGGAAACCAGTCTTGGGCTTCAGTGGGAAACCAGTTT